ATATATTATTATTATTTATATTAATTGGGTTGACTGAGTTAGAAATAAAAATGAAGGGACCAACTACTAACCGAAGAAAACTAAAAAAAAAAGTATATTAGTTATTACATTGTGGTGAGACTGTGAGACTATAATCATAATATATACCCACTTATGAGTTATGAGATATCCAACCTACAGAACAATAAATAAATTATTGAACCGGAAAACCAGTATTGTTTCTTGTCTACCAAAAATAGGTTTTATACATTTGTAGATAAATAAGAATTAATATCCATCTAAAAACCTGTCATAGTCCTATAATAAGTACTAACTACGTATTTGTTTTAAAGTAGCGTGGTGCAAAGTTATTCACCAAGCATGCTCAATTCCTCTCGTTTCATTCTATAATAATATATTCCAATTATGATTTTTGGTATTTTTAAGTTGAGAAACCATGTTATATTCAAATATCTTAAAGCATTCATTGCCTCGGTCGATACGTAGTCGACAAATTATTTACTGACTTTAACGTCTTGATTTTTTTTCTGGCTATTTGTGATTACATTATTAATTTAATTATGTACTCGGTTTTATGTTTGGTCTAAAAATACACCTGTAATTCTAATTTTTCTTGAAATTTAAAGAAGAAGCTGCTTTTAAAAATAACCTATCATGTACAATTTATATTAAAAAATGAATATGAATGAACGAGTCTCACTAAACAATTTACAGAAAAAAATGTAACCATAATTTTTCTTTGGCAAGAAAGAAATAGAAATTGAACTTGTAATGATACACGACACCCATTTAATGATACCAAAATGTAAATATTTGAAAATATAGGTATTCAACATTTCCCAAAATCAAAATATAATAGATCAAAGAAAACTGTCGGTGAGTCACCCGGTATACTGTGTATATTATAACATTATTATATAATTATGGCATCCAGGTTTACTGAGATGAACGGTGTGTACGTAAAATAGCGTTTCGTAGTATTATAATATATTTTAATATAGTCACTAATATCGTAGACCAAGTGCAGATTACATTTGAGTATATCTTATTAGAAGCATGTACCTAACAAAATAATATATACACGTATATCATGCGAAAAGGGTTGCGGACCTGCAACAAACCGTCCGCCATATTAATTACTGTACAGTGGGTTAGCCACACCGCTGCCGCAACGTCAGACCACCATTTTCCGCGGTCGAGTGACCCCGTTAAGTCGGCTTTTAATAAAAATACCCACTTTGGGTACAGCGAGAGGGAGTGAAAACGATTCAGGGTTTGCGAAACTCATCAGTCCGTCATAGTGTCGAGTCCAAATCGTTTCGGGATTTGAAAGTCGATTGAAACAGAATTTTATAATTTTTTTTTTAATCCCAATCCAACTCGTCATATTATATGGTAACTTTGGGAGCCTGATCTTGGTATAGATATATATTTTTAGTTGATTCTCAGTGTAGGGATTGAATGTATTGCGAGATGTAGTAACTAATTTAATATTACGTTGTGATAAAAATGTGTAAGTCAATCGAAGATGTCTGTTAATGTGATAATAATTATGCACTGTATTAATAAAAAAAAACAATTAATGTACCTATGTCAATAGTCAATACTGAATTACATGGTATTATGTAACATAATACCCGTGTGATCACGGATCTATAAATTGATCTCTCATTATTATCCCTTAACGATTAAATTATAGTTCATGATTTTGTACCGGATGATCCATACATAAGATACTCATTTTTTCAAAAATCATCAAGGGTTTTGAAAATATTTTTACACAATTTTTATTTGTCAAAAACAGTTTTCTTAAAAATGATATATTTTTTATTTTTACATTTATGTTAACAGTTTACTTTTTTTAATGTCAGCATTCATTTTTAATTATTAAAAAACAGAATATTCTTAGGAATACTTCAATACAAATAATATAAATCGATATAGATATATAGTATTGATCAAAATAAAATTGTTCACTAGTAGTTACAAGTACTTTAAGTTTCAAATAGCAGAGTAGAGTGGTACAGCGGTACTCCACATGATTATGGTCCACTGCTCCACTCATCTTAATTTTAAATAGGTAGTTATTAGTTAATATTTATAACTAACAAACTACTTATATACTACGAAATTAGATTTGTTTCGACATTTGTTATATTCTGCTTCAAAATATGAAAATAAATGTGTTTTTTTAATTAAAAAAAAAAAAGTGAAAAATGTTGTTTTTGACGACTTTAAATTATAAAAAAAAATATTTAAAAAAAATTTAGTGTTGGTGAAATATTGAGTGTCATACTTTAAATAGATTACTCCATATATATTTTAATTATTTTAACCATGAAGAAACTTGCTAAGCAGTGTGAAACAATAGTAATGGAATAATATTTAAAAAAAATAGTTTATTGTTTAAGATTTACAATGTATTTAGGTATGTACATGAAAGTAGATATGTTAATTTATACACAGCATCAAAGTCTTTATTATGCAGTATATTATTGTTTTCGTCGTTGTCACTCATGAAAACGTCACTTTGAACTTTGTACTTCTCATCCAAGCTTTCTCGATTCTGACATACCTTTTTGTTTCAGGCTGTATTGAAAACGACATGTCTCGCGAGTGCAACAACCATTCATTGTTTAATCATTTTGAATAGTTGATTATTCATTACTAAAATGTCACAATAAATGGTTTTATGATTTTCCCTTTGGTCTGAACCCACGAATAAATCTCATCAAACGACCATGTTCACCTTTTCTATTGTCAAAATCATTAAAATTATACTATCGACGTAGATAGATATGTCCCCCCTTTAGTATGACAAAATTACAGACTTTGGTGCATAAAATATCCTTTCAATCAAAACTATTGTATACAAGTTTACCCTAAATTAAAAATTAAATATGAACATGAAAGCGAATAAATTTATAAATATATAATTGTTTTAATTTAATGACCATGATATTTATATGATTTTTATTTTTACATTATTTATATTATTCTCACAGCACAAATGGCTGGGTAGTATACTAGAATACAGAAAACTCAATTTAGGTAGAACAGTATAAAAAACAATATGAGCATTGCTAAAAATGTTTAACTTCACAAAGACAAATGTCTTGTAATTGCACACAATTTTCGTTATAATATTATCATAACCATGTAGAGATTTTTTTACTATTGACACCTTTGCGTTCTCACTATTTTTTTGTTACAATAACGTTAATAGGAGTATTCAAAGTGTATTAGTTTGTTATTACTATAACAGTGGTTGGATCTAGCCTAGGGCATCAAATATCAAACTGTCATTATATACTTTATTTGAAGTATCACAAGAGTGCTCTTTCGTTGTATTGTGGATAAGATATTTTAAAATAACATTTATATAATAATACTTAAACATAATAGTTAATTAAGTTTCCATTTTTTCATCGTTAAATTAGTTACACATATATAAAAAACAACTTTACTGTTCTGTGCATGCGAATCGATCATCTCAGATCAAAAGCGAGCACCAATCAGTTAAGTATAACTAATTAGCATTGTTCTGATATGATGTGTGAATTTCATTTCGGAAAACGTTTTTGTGAGCAAAAATACCAAAGACTGCCTCATGTATAGCTATCAGAAACATTAGGGGGAAGGTGACCACGACAATAACTACGATGGTCAATATTGCCTGTTACACCAGATGTCAGTCATTGTTCGATACCTTAATATTGTAAGCTTTTCCGACGTTCCACCGAGTTACCTGTCGGGTAAATACGTCAAATTCTGCTCACCGAAACACTTACGGTAATGAACGTGGCAAAACGTGTATAGGTTCTTTTTTTTATTATACACGTATATTCACCCTTCCGATAGCGTAGGTTTATTATTTTATTTTTATACTTACATTATGTAACCCGTTTTCGACCAGAAGTCATTTTTTTTTTTTTAGGGACGTCTTGTTTTTTACCATTTGTATGAAATTGATTACGTTACACATAACTCAATTAAAATGATAAAATTAAATGAGTCAAAGTAACAAGTTGATTCAGTTTCCTCGTTCTGAAGACCAAACTGAATGACAATTCACGTGTTTCAACAATAATACTGTCATACTACCTATAAACATTTTAGATCGATTAAAACAAAATTAGGAGGTGACATTTTTTTTCTATTGACCGGGGCGGAATTGAAGCAGCTTAACGTCTAAATAGTTCTCGTGTCTATATTAAAATACTCGCATTGCTTTAAATGACTTTTTTCGCTCTGTGCACGCTTAAATGCGTTTCGGATTTCAATCAGTTGCGTTTTATAAATATTTGTACAAAAAAAAAATCGTTACGTATTTTAATCAATTGCTTTCGGAGATTACTTATACCTATCGTATAGAGCGAAACTAGTGCGTACAACGATATCGAATTAAATCCACAGCATTAATACCTAGCTATTATGAGTGCGCACAAAACAATTGTATATTATATAATCATGTTACGTACCTATATATTATTGATATTTAAATAAGTGCGGCTTAGGATAAACGTGACCATAATGCGCGCACATTATACGCCGATCGTGTATGTCGAGCGTATCGCGCGTATAATATTACTGTTTGTATTAGTTACCTATACACCGTAAGTTCAATGTCATATATACATAATATATACATTATGTATAGGCGATGCAAGGTAAATATCCTATATATTATTTTGGTGCCGGTCTTTATCTCATGTTTGCAAAGACTCGCATCTCTTTGCACTACCGTCACTTTAAATCTAAGTTTATTTTATGGTATGTACACACAAAACTACAGGAAACTCTGACTATATCGATTGACCATAATGTCTGAATATTGTATTAGTGTAACGTAATATACAGAGTGATGATTTTATCGTGAGCCGGGAAATTAAATTATAATAACATTATTTAAGGACAAATATGAATACTGTACCGTCAAATTACGTTATAATATTGCTATATTATGTATTAAAATCAACGATTTTTTTTTTTTTTGACAGGACATGGTGCAGGGCCTGTGGACGCTGTCCCGGGGATCGGTGGACGACAAGCTCCGGTGGGCGTTCACGCTATACGACCTGGACGGCGATGGGCAAATATGTCGGGACGAGATGACGCGCGTCGTGACGGCAATCTACGAACTGATGGGCAAATTCGCCGAACCGTGGCTCAAGGACGGCACGACGGTGGCCGCACACGTAGATTTCGTGTTCCAGGTTTGTTTAAAAATTAACATTTTATTGAAAACGTTTGAAAATGAATACATAATTCGGTTTGAACCTTGCATTGTAATAAGGAAGATATTAATATATAATAATATGCCGTATAGTGATCAATTTTATTATTTCTGGTCAAAGTCAGTCTTGTTTTTCGCATAAATCGTTGGCCGTGGCGCGTATAACATTATTCATTATAGCGTAATTATGCGATGATTTGTTATATTCGGCAGCGACCGACTTAGTTTTACTAAGTGCACTTTCGGAAAACATATTTTCCCCACTTTTAACACCGGTCGCGTTTTTCCGGTAGGTTCCACGTAACAACTATTTTATTCTTCCAAGTAGGTATATAATTAATAATGCAATACGATGGTAACACGGCGTTTCTGCTAGGCAATTTAGCTACACCACTGCCGCGGGCTAACTTTCCCGGTGTCTCGTTTCGATAGTCGTATTATAGGATATGGCTTGTTAAAGTACATACAATCATGACAGCAATTATAAAGCACGAGCATAGTGAAATTATTATGTAAACGACCGAATGCAATTTAATGCGACCGAGATAAAGCCATTAAAAGTTGACAATATCGTTCAAAATTACCAACACAATTCAATCTGTACAATAAAACATGACAACAGTCCCAGCCATATTGAATAAAATCAGTGTTTTGTTCTTAGAGATACCGCGTTTGGCGTTGTTATTTATTTGCACAATAAATAAGACGTTAATTGTTTTCTTCCGGTGCGCCCCTTTCTGCCTTATCTGTGGATTTCTCTCGGACCTTACGACTATTTGTACGCGCCGGAAAACGGGACGAAAATTAGTAAGCGCGGGCCGTCTTGTCTGCTTAGTGAAATAGGTCAACACCGTTTGCGGGTAAAATCCAAAACTATATACATAATATTATTATGTACACTAACGTTAAACAATTCTAAGAAAACAATTCGGAAATCTTCGTCAATTGTTTTGTACGTCTGAATACATAATAATATCGTCATCGTGTAATGGCCGCTTTGTATTCGTATTCGTCGTCTTAACTACCCAGCTAATCGGTTTACTTTTCTACGACATTAAGCCGAGCGCAACGTGAACTCGGCATTAAGGCCCTAAGTTTTTGTGGTACAATAGTAATTTATTATCATTATTATACACAATACGAATTACGATAACGTAACGAAATCAAATACTTCAATAGGCAGAAACACGATAAGCTCGAAAACTCGTCATTTCTGAATAATACGAGAGTATTGGATATAAGTCAAAATATCTAAGTTACCTGTTATAGTTTCCGGCAGAGTATCATAATTATTATAAGTACTAAAAACGTACAAAATACATTTTTTAAATTTATGTTTAAATCATTGTAATATTAAAAATGATAATACACTATGTTATGTTTAACCTCAGCTCCATTAAACGTGATCTGTCTCGGAACGTAAAGTATATTTTCAATAAGGACGACGAAGGAATGTGCACGGGCTTAAAACAGCATTACATTCATTATTTGACACCATTACTCAAAACATTGTATAATAATGTGATCCTTCCGTTTGCGAATATAAACACATGACGACATATCGCACGCGATTTTCGTATCGTTAAGTTATCGCTGTCCGTCGTGCATACCTAGGTACTTACCAGCATTATAATATAATTTTCCACCTCAAGGTAGACCGAAATATTTATCTGAATACCACAATAATCATCGGCAATATGGTTGAATTTTGAATGGGTATGTTTAATATTATACGTGATGGTTTATCGTAATAATTATTGTTGGTGACAAATACGCATAAAGATCGTCATCGTGTAACAGTTAATATAAGTATTTTTGGGTGGAGTTTGTGTTAGATGGGTTTTTTTTATTTTTTTACCTCTTTTCACGTACGTACATTTAACCCACGTACGCTTTATTACGATTCCTATAAATCATTATTAGTTTTTACGGAATCTTTTAATAACACGCGGATAAATGTATTTGTCGGTTTACTGAAAAACGTGTCCAATACACACATTGGAAACACGCCAGCGTATTATCTCTGTGCGGAATACCCGAAACCGTAAACCTTTAAAAACCACCCCGCTCATATTGTACACAGTATAAACTGTGCAATAATAATGTTCGTTTTATATACGCACCTACAGTTTATCGAAAATCTCTCGATCGAACGTGTTTGGATAAAAAATACCGATCAGATACATACTGTTATAATACGCATATAACGATGTACAGGATAATTCACCTAGCTTGATCACAACTCTTTTTATCATAATAGTACATTTAATGAATTCCTGATTTTTAAAATATTCAAGTCTATTTGAATTCAATAGTTTCGTATTTTGCTTGGATATTTTGTATCATTTCAGAAGTGTCTAGCTTCAAGCTTTGGAGTACAAGCTTTTGTTTTTCAAATTACAATTTTCGTCTTTTACTATAAATTATTTACTTATTACATTTAATTAGATATTTTTTTTTGAAAATATTCATCTATAATTCTTCTACATTTGAACGAATAGTTTCTGTGTTCTTTAAATATTTATTATAAAGATAATAATATTCCTTAAAAATGGTTTTACAAAAATATGAAATACATATGTAATATTTAATCTAGTGCTAACTATGCTAAGTCAATTTTCACAAAATATTTAATGATAATATATTATGATACTAACTAGGTAGTAATAACTAATAATTACAACAATTTTTATATCATAACTGACCCATATATTATATTTGATCAAATTCATGAACAATCATGGACAATGTTAATGTTCAATTACTTGGAAACTACTAGTTCGTATTGCAATTATGATAAGTACTTTGATATTTCTAAAAAAAATATTATCTGCTTAACAATCTACAATAAAAATTATTGGTTTACATTTATTTGAAAAAATAAAATTTTGTATCTCCACATGACACTCCTTAGATAATATAAAACATACAATTAGTTGAATATATGGCATTTAAATAGGTAACATAACAATTTCAGAGTATGAATAAATGTGTTATTAAAATAAGAATAGGGGTGAGCATGCTTGGCAAATCACTTTGTATTTAACCGGTTTTTCTATACTTACTTACATAATATACTATAATAACTTTTACAACTTTATACACATAATTAATAATATATATTATAAGTAAATAACCATAATCTATAATATTATAAGCTATAAACATCGGAATAATAGTGTAATACTGTAATACACCAATAACAAATTTAAATGGTTGCGTTTCTTTTGATTAACAAAATAAAATGGTCCCGTGGCGACGTAGTGCGCACGATACATTTTACCTTGGTATACTAAAATATAATACGTGCGTGACGGTAATATTCATATTATTTTAATGACTGTCTGCATCCATATAAAAGCTAGACACATTTTAAATCATATTCTACCATATTTTGTACTCCAAATTTAAAGTGTTTTCATGACATACGTCCACAGTTTTCAATTATTCATTTAACCCCAGTTAGCTTTAATTTAATATCGGTTTTTTGCTTTTAGAAGAGTGTTTTACCCTCCTGAAATTGTACGGACATAATAATATATTATTGTATTTTTAAACAACTCATCTACTTTGATACATATGCACTAGCATACAATTATGGTACTGATCTTGTTAGTACAGTGTTGTAATAAAAGAGTATAGTCCAAGTAAGTTCAAAAGTAATTCATAAGCTATTGTCGCATTTATAAAAAAAACGAAATTCGTATTCGGTGTAAAATTGGAACTGTAACGTATATTTTGTATATGTTTGTTATCTTCAGCGCTTCACCTTCCCGCTTGAACACAATCCTGCAACCTCAGCTCAAAACTAATCGAAAACGGAAGTAACGTAAATATATAACTTTCTGACGTAAATTTTTCAATCTATATAAAATTATATAGGATCCGAAAATAACGGTGGTTATCTGAGGAAATCGATATTCCTTGTCCAGGAGTCTGAAAAAATTATTTGCCTTAGTTAAACATCTGAATATTGATTGTTTGTCTTGTGGATGCACTTCCGAGTCTATAATAAATCGCCGCTAGGAACACAACTATAAGTGCAACCATCACATGAAATCACAGGTCAAAATCTCAGAGTCTGAGGAATAACATTATAATAAATAGTTTACCCTTTTGTCGTGATCCATTTTTTGTGTTTTGTTGTACACGACTTGCTGAAATGTGCTCCTTACGTGATAGATGAAAACAAACCAAATACTTAGTGTCCCAGGTTTTACATTTCTGTATCGTTAAAAAAGTTTTCCGATGACACCTACAGTGGATATTTTTGTATCGACGATAGACATATAATATTTGAATTTAACGGTAAGCTAGGTGTGTATCTCAAAAACCGAAGAAAAACAAAAATTAACGGTATCGAATTTTGCTTGTGAGCCAGGTCCACCTGTAGGTATGTTATAAATCAAAAATTAGCAATTTAATACATAAATTTCGGTTGAGATCTAAAACAAATATAGCTTTTTTTCACAGTGAGCTGAATGATTGCATGTTTTTTATTGTTATTATTGCCGGTTACTATATTAATTGGGGTGTTAAAAATTAATTCCGGCCGGCTTCGTACAAAATATGTATTAAAAGCTTATTGCCGACAAATGTTTAACACACGTAATTCAACTGGAACAATTGTGAATATTACGCGATGACACTTTATTTCATTATACACTGAAGCAGCGAATCCGATGAATCAATCGGACGTGCATGGTTCCTCTGCAAAACGTATTATTTCGATATTATAATATTATTAGTGTCGTGTCACTGCCACGAAACACGAACCACTCGCGTTTATCTGCCGCGATAAAGAATAATATATTATATACGCATGCAGTAGTGTTATAATATATTTACAATACGCACGACGGTGGGCGCCGACCGTAAATCTGATTCGACTTAAAAAGATACATGTATACCTACATTTCTTTTCCTTTTTTCCCCCCTTTTTTTTATTCCATCCCTCTTCGGTGTGTTCACACTTTTTCGAGAGAACGACGCCCTTTTTCTAATCAATGATATACGGTGTTTGAGAATTATTAGAATCTGAGCATAACAATAATACATTATTATATCCTATACCTTTTGATTTGATTTAGCTGTGTTTGTCACGGCAAAGTGACCACATTGATTCTCGTTCTTGTACGAGTAAAATATACTACGGAATATTTAACATAATTAGATTCTATATAAAATAATGACATTCATATTTTATCATCTTAAAGCTAGTTGTATTCGTACACTAGTTAGGTGTGAAATGTAATCATTTTTATGTAAATTCAAGAGTTTTCTATATCAAAAATGACAATACCATTTCTATAGAACTATATCGAATTTCGTTAATTTTTGCAATGATTTTTATTCTGTGTTTTAAACGTTACAATGATTCAAAGCAAAACAAAAATGAAATAACTTTTTTAATTTTATCTTGCATAAATTTGTGAATTTTGTAAGTTAAAAAAAAAATTACCATGACGAAATGAGTTTTAATTTTAATACAGACAGTTTTACATCAAACAGAAAAAAATTATTTAATTAAAAACAGGTGTACTAATTAAAAAAAAAAAAAAAAACTGACACACTCAATTTATGGTACTAGTACAGTAGTACACATTTACACTGCCAATTATTGTGGGGAAAGACGTGTTTAACTGGTTTCGTATTTATTAAGTTGTCCTCCAACCACAATAACCGATGATGTTTTCCCGTTATTTCCTATCATATATGTTCAGTGGTACCCATAATCTTCTTGAAAAATAAAAAAATAAATAAATCATATACCATATGAACGTAAAATTTCCGAAACCTATGTAAATTTTATTTAAAATCGAAAAAATAAACATTTATTGTTTTCTAGTTTCCGTTCGTGTTTTTGCTCGCCGCGATTTGTCTTGATGACGATGTGTGTTTCGTCGAGTGTCCTGTGAATATAATATTTTGTACATTATTGTCCCGAAAGACGGATTTATTTTTATGACCATGGATGAAGTGGTCTACTCTGAAGATTGTCATTGAGCCGCATCGGTCAAACTGTCAGACCAAATAAAAAAATAATATTATCCAATTAAATGTATAAAAAAAAAGCTCTATCTTGACCCACAATAATAATAATATTGCACGCATCGCGAGATTTCCGTTTTGTGTTCGCTTTGAGTTATACGTTGGTAGTAGGTACATATACTATGTAAATGTAGTACATAAGTATATGATAAGTTGTATGCATAGCCACACAGGTATTATCTATGAATGAGTAGTTGTAGGCACATATAATGCATATTGTCTAAGACATTTTATAATAACAGAAAGCTTATGGTGTGCTCTTGTTCTACCATAAACCCTAGACAATACCTCAGGGAATACCTACAAGGAGTTTCAAATGCATATATCTGTATTCAAAACGTTTGATAACAAACGATTATACGTTTTTTTCTACGACTAGCATGTATTTGGCTTTGGATTAAAATTTTTTTTTATTTTGATGAATGCCTTCTATTTTTAAATTTATTTTCCTGCAATTCACATGAAAGAATCACTCGGTAAAATATACAACCAGCCACACAGTAATCGCTTCGAGGAATAAAACCGTGGATTAGGTCAGGTACAATGAAAAGTCTGCGCTGTAATGTATAACGCACAAAAGCCGCAACAACTCTTAACATTTTTTGCTCGACGTACATAATATATAATTTAAAAAAAAATACATTTCAATGATTATAATATTAATAGGTAGCTAAATGACGATTGTGTATCACAACTACGGTAACCATCGATGACCACACTCGGGTCGTAGTATAATCGTAATATATTGTAAGTATATGAGTAATACGTATCATGTAAGTACTCACGAATGAATGCGAGTAGGCACAATGGTGTATGTTTACTAAGATATATTATAATAACAGAAAGCTTATTGTGCGCTCTCATTTTAATATGGACAAGAACTTATACCTTAGGCCACAGCGGTTCTCAACCAGTGGTACGCGTACCACTAGTGATACGCGGAGAGCTCATAGGTGGTACGCGAAGAAAATCTTTAAAAAAATTGCTACGAATTATTATTAACATTAAATATTATTTGGTTTATTTAATGTTTATTTGATGGTGTCGAAAATAATTTAAGACTTAAAGTTAGCAATTTGGAGCCCGATATTGATGTCATCGTCCGTTAAAAACAACACCCATCGTCTCATTGAAATAAAAAGTGAACCATAATAATTATAATAATTTTACATATTTAATTTATTTTTATTTTTAAGTTTTTTCTTTCTGTGCATTAAATACTCAATTAAATACTTTATTTTTTATTATATATTTATATATTTTTATATTATCTCATTTTGTAATTCCTAATGAAATAAAATTCTATACATACATATAACATAAACGTATACATTATTAATAAGCAAAAAAAAAAAATGATCAAGTAGTACGCAAAAATTTCAAATTGTGTAAGTGGTACGCGACTATAAAAAGGTTGAGAACCGTTGCCTTAGAGGATACAAGAAGTTCTTAAAATTTAAATACTTATATTTTCTTATGGCGTTAGATAACATACGGTTTTAAATTTTGGCTCTGTGAAAACTTATCAGTATTTAACTTTTAACTTTAAATGACATTTGTTTGTAAAATGGCTATTTGTTTCTTTTATTATATTTTCCTGCGAACCACATGGAACAATCATACCGTATGAAATAACAACTGGCCTGCACACATTAATTGCATCAAGGAATGAAATATAAATCGGTAGTTTTCAATCTTTTTTTTCACGACGATATCCTAACTTTTATCGAAATAAGTGGCAACACACTTAAATCATTATGACCAACGAATGTTACCTTAAACTGACAATAAACTCGTTATTTTCATCATCAAAAAATTGTTTTTGTGACATATGCTATAATATGTCGTAAATTTTACGACGTAAAACACCAGTAAATTGAAAACTGAGGTCCACGGGATTAGGCCAGGCACTATGGGAAGTATGAACCAGGTTAGTGTATTATTGCATTACAAAAGACAACAACGCATATTTTATTCGTTACAATACGTATGAAATTTATTTACAAAAAACACATAACAATGATAATATTAATAGTAAGAGGACAGCAATGTATCACGCATAATCACATCTGTGGTGTACCACAACAACGGTTACAACTGATAACCGCACTCGGAACGCGGTATAATCATATATATTATATTATGTGTATCGATGATGCTATAATATTATGATATTATGAAGTGGACGACGTGAGCGACGTTCAGGTGACGCAGTCGTGGCCCATCAGTAAGCGGGCTTGTATGTGGCCGGCGACGACGACTGTGCGGCGTATCCGCCCTCCTTCTTGACGTCAGCGTTGAAACCACTGTGGTCGTCGGCGGTGTAGTCTACGGTGCGCTTGCTACCGTCAGCGTCCACCAGACTGTAAGTGCCCTTGACGTAACCGTTGGCGTCAGAGTACTCGCTCTGGCTCTTGACGTCACCGGTGTGAGCGTCGTTCACGCTGTATTGGAAGTTGTATGGGGACGGGGATGACGGGGCGGCGGCGGCAGCGTACTGCTTGGGCGCTGAATACTGAGCTGGTTTGTAAGAAGCGGGTGCGGATTGGTATGCCGCTGGTTTGCTGTAAGCGGGAGCAGCGTGGTAAGCCGGAGCTGCTTGGTATGCCGAGTAAGCAGGTGCTGCTTGGTACGCCGAGTAAGCAGGTGCTGCTTGGTATGCCGAGTAAGCTGGAGCGGCTTGGTATGCTGGGTAGGCTGGTGCGGCGGGGTATGCTGGGTAGGCTGGTGCGGCTGGGTAGGCTGGTGCTGCCGGGTAGGTAGGGTAGGCTGGGGCAGCTGGGTAGGCTGGAGCGGCTGGGTAGGCTGGAGCAGCTGGGTAGGCTGGAGCGGCTGGGTAGGCTGGTGCGGCTGGGTAAGCTGGTGCAGCTGGGTATGCCGAATACGATGGATAAGCCGGAGCAGCACGATAAGCCGGGGCGGCGGAGTAGCCATGAGCCTGGTAGGACGAGTAGGCGGGTGCAGCGTGCGACGAGTAGGATGGTGCCGCGTGCGATGAGTAGGATGGTGCAGCCGCGGGGTAAGCGGGCTCCTTGTAGACAGCCATGGTGGAGGCCACGGCAAAAGCCGCGAATACAATCAGCTGAAAAACGAGTAATGTTAAGTATTACTAATACGATCTTATTAATATTGGAACTTGATGATAATAATAATGTTAGGTCAAAAAAATTATTATGTTCGATTTCTTTTCATCATCGTACCAGGCTGGCACCTAATAATTATTATATTAACCGTTCTTCCGAACACAGAGCATTCTGATCGTAATGATATTCCGACCGACAGCGCGCGTGAGAGAGAGAAAGAGAGAGAGAGAGAGAGAGTCTGTCCGCCGGAACGAGAGTAAAAGTAAATGATATGAAGTAGATATAAATTAAAACGAAAACCGGTCGGGCGATCGGAGTTCCAGAGTGTTCAGACATTTGTTATATATTATAATATTATATTCGTTTGCCGCCGGCGTTGCTCGCTTTAACGCGTTATGTAAGTAGCCTAACGAGATCAACGTGTTCCCGGTTCTATCCGGTCCGATTGGCACAACATACACGACCGCTTTTCTCGACGACAACGCCATAACATTTAAAACGTTAATACATCGTTTAATAATATAATACAATAATCATTATGCTAAATAATTATAATTTATAACGAGTATTATAATACGGCTGAGCGTTGGTATTTTCCGAAAAGCAAAGCTATTATAAAGGTTGAGTCCGCGGAAAAAAAATTGTGCGGTTGTGCATTTGGGAGACGACTCGATAGAACTCAGTCTCGTACACTCTTAATATGTGTTTCATATTTTAGAATGCTTAAGGTGCACAATCGGACCCAACCTAATAACTTTTTGAGAACACAGACCAATAACAATAACGTATAAAATACTCACTGTTGCGGACATGTCGTGTGAGTGAAAATTCTTGAGAGTATAATGTGGTGTAGAGTAGTTTCGACGGTGTTGTTGTCGGTAGTGGTTGCCGTGGTCGATCGCGGTTGACTGTGATCCGTCCAACGATTCGGGCCGGTATATATACTCCGGAGTCGACCGCACTCGACGCGAGTGGTATGTAATAGGATCGTGTGCTATGAGGTGAAGTGGTGGACCAAGCCAAGAGGACCCGCACGGCCGAGGGGGTTACCGGGTTGGATTGTCGTCCCCTCGGGCACTGCGTCATACCACGCGTGTATACATTGCACCGGGTTAGGCGTGTTGCTCTAATACATTTCCTGTACGTCTGAACGTAACACTGCAAGTGTGCTGCGCCAGGTCACCGGTCTCTGGGCCTCGCGGCGGTATCAGACGACAAACGGCAGACCACACCAAACGTGAGAGTAACTCGGTAAAAAATATATGTAATAATATAATGTGATATATATTATATACGTTAGGCTAGGCGTCGGTTTTCACTTTTTTAGAATGGCCTCACATAATATTGTTATAGCGGTGGTCGAGAAACGGATCTCACTCCAAACGATCGTAGCTCGACTGCAAAAGGTCCTAGAATCGGTCAGTACAGATTTATACTATGGGCAACATATTGTAAACAGCTCAACCAAAAATCAAAATAATAGGTGAGAAAAAGGTTGGATACAATTATTATACTATGTCAAGATTAATAATCTTGCAAAGGGTCCGATGTATGGGTACTGTGTCTGTAATAATAAATAATAATCATCTCAATAAATACTCGATATTAATATTAACTGCATTAATATTGTTATTCGTTTCACTTATAAAGATTTTGATCATAAAATCCCATCATATTGACCATCGAAATAATTCCGAATAATATGACACCGTAAGTGCTGTTCTAGTATTCTTTAAAATTTCGTTTTTTTTAAAGTTTATTTTTATGTTTTAGCGTACATCATTTTGACATGTGGCGAAGTGTGGTTTTTAACTTGACAACACTGATATGTACAAATTCGTTTTCAAAATTATAATGAATGTTCAAAAAATATTACATATGATTCTCTTTTAAGTAAATGGAGATATACAAAAAATTATATTAGAAGGCGTTTAATAATATAATCATATTTATTTGAAAAAATATTAGATTTACCTTCTGCCCATAAATCTCCAACCAAATTTATGAAAGAAAATTTAAGTTCTCAGTTTTAACAAAACAAATTGTAAAATATTGTAATTTACTATTATGTTCTGCGATTAAAATGATAGTTGACTACTCAATTCACTACTCGATTGCAAAAAAAAACCTTTTTCTTATCACATTTCACGTGTACCTACATAACATTACTTTAATTGATGGCGCAGCTTACACTTAAAAAAAAATTTGCTGTGGTACAATTGACAACCACCCATGCGAATTACTGTGGATTCAGATCACACTGTGTATACTCTGCGTTGTAATATTAATCCTCATACAAAACTGTAAAAAGGCTGATACAGTTCACTGCTTATTAATTTAAGGAAAAGTTTTATTTCAGTTGAACTCCGGTGAAATAGGTATAACTTTTATATTAATTGGTGTATGACAAATATTTATTGACTGGAAGTCATAATATACCCTAGCGAACTATATACACAAATTCCTTTGCACAACAAATCAACTCAATGTATAGGGTATTTAACATTTTAAATAAACTTTATACTTAGCAGAATATCACAAAGTATTATTAACTATCAACTTCTAACTCGTTTATTGTGATTTTATTAATTCCGCATAAGTGAGTTATTACAAGACTCGTGGACTTGACCAAAGTTCAGTGGATATAAGTACGTTAGGTTAACTATTGTTTCGATAATTTAATGAAGCACGCGGTTTGCAAATTATAGCTCTGTAGATAGTCCTATACATACAGGGGGAGGGTGATACATCAAACAATTCAAACATGCTCATAATTTTACTTTTAAAATTAAATTATTTCAATTCTAATTATTGGAATATTTAAATTTCAGGTATACTTAGACAAGCCATATTTTAAAACACTTCGATTTTTCAAATCATTTTCAAATAATCGTGTCGACAATACAAATGTCTTTAAAATATGAACTAAAATTGTTCACAGTTAATTTTTAAGAAAATGTTTTGTTTGTTTTAGTTTTTTATGAAAACAACTATGTAATAATACATTTGAAATAAAATGAACATGTAATATTTATTTGAATACTTTAGAAAGTATGATTTATAAGTTATAGTTTTCACTTTATCATAACCTCTGTCATATCCTCCAAATCTATCATAGACTTATTATTCTTAGTACAAAGTTAATTAACTTTAAGACTTGTCTTATCATTATTGAATTAGATGTATCAGCGTTTTCAAAAATCATCTGCTTAACAATTTAGCAGTAAAAAGTGTATTTCAAAATATGGGTTATCTTTAAGTATACTTAAACATTCTAAAGTTCAGGGTGTAAATATATGGGTTCATAAAAGTGTGATGATGAGCATGGTCGCAGGTCATTGGTGAACCATCGTGTTAATTGTAAAAATATATTACCTACATTATGTTTTGTAGTCAGATCTGGTATAAATAAGAAATTTGTTTAATGTAATTAATGCAAATCTCGTTACAAATAATAACACATCGTAGTTTCTATACATACCGATGCATTAAAACATATACATATATTATATTAATATGGTTCTAGGTGAAATTTGTTGTACCTAATTATGTAAATATGTAATAATAAATCGCGTCGCACCAGTCCGAGTCCAGTCTGTTCAAGCGTGTTCACTTATTGGGACAGTATAATATATTATAGTGGCTTACATTTCCGGCGAGTGAATCTAATTTGGTTGTGTAATTGGTTAAATATAATATATATGTAGAGTGTGTATGTTTCGTACTTTGAGTCATTTACATACGATTCAGGCTATGATACTCGGTGAACCGTAACGTCTCTCGATCAGTAGGTACATATATAATATTATTATACACAATTTTGTGTAAGTCGCAAAATATTGTATGGTATTGTTACGATATACTTGGACCGTTGTCGTTTTTTTGCGTGCGTTTTTGTATTTAGATCACACTATTTTAATCGTAAAATTATAGCCAAATTATTTTAATAATGACAAAGAATCTGCTGCAGTCCAAGTCCGAAGTCGTTAAACAAACACTACGATTCGAAGCACAATTTTTATTATAACGCATGGTACTGTACGCAGCAAATCATAAATTGTACAATTTAAAACGGTCGCTTACTCTACGTATAGATGCACACCTCCCCGTAACATCATATCGGCGAACCACGACAGCAAGTTTTGCATCATGATCCGTGATTAAAACTGAACCGGACAGTTTTCTCGGTTGATCAACTGCCCGGAAAACAGCTTTAGAAAGCCATCTTGACGACCATTTAGGGAAAGTGCCGCCGGCTATGACCCGCGGGGATCCGTGAACCTTTCAATTGGCCATTTACCTCCCTCGACACACACCACTCGCACCCCACTGCCAATAGTCCAGCCAATATTCGTTTACTCGGTTAAAACTTTTTTTAATTATAAAACACTCGAATCATAGTGCTTGACCCTAGGAACATATACTCCAAGTCTATGATTGAATGCGGAATGGCTACTCGGTCTGTATATTGCTTGGCCGAGTGAGGGAGTGATCGCCTAGGCGACGGTTTTCTCGACGCTTTCCTGTCTTCGTTTTAATTCACCGTTCAGTCCTATGGACTTATATTAATAATTAGGACTGTCATTTTGATATTCTGACAGACTAAAAAAAATTATTTTTAATATTATATTTCAATGACTTAAAAATAATTATTATTTAATGTGCTGTTCGTTAATACTTATTTTTACGTTAATGTTTCTTGCCCCACTTAATTAAAATAATACATTATTTTTACAACGAAATTTAGCAATCAAATAGCAAGAATATTCAATTCTATTTTCACAATTTTTAAGCTGAACGATAATTAAAGTTTAGAGCTAAAAGTAGTTTACGCAATCCACATAGCAAAAAAAACCTAAGGATTACAGAAACGAATGCCACAAGCCACAACCACATCACTTAAATTGCATATTAAAATGTTTACGTCTTAGTTTCCATATAAACGGGTTAGAAATAAATGTATAAATATTCGTCTAATCCTTTTAACAAGAGCATTTGAAATCAGTGATTCTAAACCTGATAAGAGTGAAAACTGTGTAGGAAGAGCAAGAAATAATCAAGGAGTAAGTTTTTTTTTAAATGGTTACATAAATGGAGGGAAAAATGAGAAAATATTAATAATGTGGTGTGTTGCTAAATACTCGTAATCTTCCCTAAAGTACCTATTCTAGTCTATAACAAGGTCAACGATTTCGGGGTTTTTATTATAATTATTTATACCATTTTTATATACTAAAACAAAAAAAAAAAGCATTTCAACTTTGTAATTTATTTTTTAACAAATAAAAACAAAACAACTTTCTTTTTAAATATTCATTGATTACAAGTGAGAGGCATGACATTGAATAATTTCATTTAGAGCATAAAAAATGTTCTGAAACACTGTTTTAAAGATACAACAATCAAAATATGTATTTTAAATTCTGAGCATATTTTGTATATTGGATTCACAATATTTTTTGTTTCATACACAGATAATATAAAAAAAGAAAAATATACAAATTTAGTTGTAAGGAACCTGCGATATTTTATATATATACTTATATACTTAAGGATACCTATGTTTATACAGCAAAAAAAATTCCTATCCTATTTATAAATAATCTATTTTTACGTATCTGTGATTTGATTAAATTTTAAGTTCATGGAAAACCATCACATTTCCAGAACTCAGCTGGGATTTTTTAAATAGCACGTGCAGACTAATATTGTGAGACCTTTGAAACCTTCGGATGCCTTTCCGTATTTTGTGATCTTGCGTTTTGAGGGGAAATTTCTGGAATTCGAAGTTTGTTGAATAAAAATAGATGGTAGGGATAACTGTGAGAAATTCGCATTTCTAGATGACGTATTTAATATATATATATAATTACTATACCTATATTTAGTCATTATAATCGTTTGTGAGTAGATAATGACATATTATTAT